ATCAGTGGGAGAGAAATCATGGTTCAAATCTAGCCAGTGGGACTCAGAGAAGCCAGCATGCTGTCCCTCCCCCTCCCCACTGCCTCAGAGAATGGGGCAGGAGCTCGGCAAAGAGCTGTAGTCCCCTTGCCTCTCAACACCTCCCCTCCCTTCCTGTAAGAGGGGCTCTCGGCAGCTGGGGAACTTCCCTTTCCTGGCTGCTCCCAGGTCAGGACCACTGGGCGAGAGCTTCCTTGTGAGTCCCACATGTCACCCAGGGCCATCGGAACACGAGGAGTTCTCCCCACCTGCCCCTGACAGGTCTAGGAGCGTCTCATCTTGCCATTTGCCTCCTGCCCTGCCCCGACTGTGGACTTTTCTCTGCTCAAGTAAACAGAAAAATGTCCCAGTGCCCAGTGCCCGGACATCCTCCCCAAACCTCCTTCTGCCACGTCCACCACATTCCCTGCCTCAGGGGCCGCCTGGGTGGCTCTGAGTCTGGCTCTGGGAGGCTGACAGTGTGTGTGCACAGGGAACAGGACGGATGTAGGCGGCTGAGAGTGTGTGGCTGAGCAGCAGAGGGGGCGCTGGCGCCTTGGCGAAGAGACATCTTCCTTATTACGCATCTTTGTTTTCCTTCCAGTGACATCTGGCTCACCGTGAGGTCCCACGAATTACGAAAAGCAGAAGTCTTAACTTCTGTTTTATTGCTGCAGGAAACCGTGCTGCAAAGAGCGCGGCGGGAAGCACGTTCTCACACGTCTGAGGCTTCAGCCCAACCCTGCACCCTGCACCCTGGGTCTGGCTGTGAACTCAGAAGTGGGAACCAGGCACCAATTATTTATCACTTTCATCATCATAAGTTTCCATCCTGAACGCCAGGGCTCTGCCTGGGTCTTTCCACTGATGCTGCAAGGGCGGCTTCCACTCCAGGAATTCGCTTCCAGACAGCAGAGCCTGCCTGCATTAGCGTTCTTGGCTAAAGGCGGCCCTCAGAGGCACTCGGGGGCTGGGCCTCTCCTGCAGCCCCTGCCCTCCATGTGGCCTTATCTGGGCCTCATGTAAGGGGGGTGGGGTGGGAGTAGCGGGGGGAGCAATCCCAGACTCAGGGAACCATAGAAGTAGAAACAGGCCTGTTCTTTTTACCCAAAAGCCTGAGGACATGACCTCAGGAAAAGATGTAGAGGTGTGGTTCCCTGTCCCAAACAGTCCTGAGGAGACCGAGAGCCACAAGCAAAAGCCAGAATAAGCCAGGGAGCGACTGGCTTCTTGTAATACACAGCATGGTGCCTGTCCGCCTGGCCAGGACCTGGGAGACCCAATCGCCCAGAAGCTGTGCCACAGTCCAGAAAAGAGCCTGTCAACCCCTCTGAACTGCCCCCGGTGAGCCTCGACCCTCAAGGGCCGCACCCACCAATCACGAGTTTCCAGCCTCCTCCTGTCCCTCCCTCAGACGACACAGTGGCTCCAGGCATGGGTGCACATTGTATCTCCAGGGGCTCTGAGGAAGCAGGTGCCTGTGGGCCCAACACTGGCCCTCAGGATTCTGAACTTGGAGGTTGCTCCAGGGGCCTGGCCACCTCCACACGGGAGCAGCAGTGTGGCGCCTGCCCACCTGCCTCTGGTGAACCTCTCTGGGCCTTCACATCCCCATCTGAAAAATGGGACAGCAAGGGTGCCCACCTTCAGGCTTGTTAAATGTAAGGAAGCGTGCCAGCACACAGCCTAGCACAGTGTGAGTTTTTGTTGGTGCTGCATTATGACCACGCTACCCCCTGCCTGGCATGACACAGGTGTTCATTCACTGTCTGCTCAGTGACTGGGCAGTGGGTGGCAGACACTTCCCGGGGCATTTCTTTGCAGTAAGTGCAATCATGGCCATACTCTCGCACTTACAAATGACAGAGTTCAGGTCACCTCTCTCCTCCCAGGCCTGAGAGGTGATACCAGCTGCCCAGACATGGATTCCTATCAACATGATGCTATGTTTGGATGCCCTGTTATAACAGCCAGACAATGTCCAGTGGCTTCTAGAAGGTCTTGAACACAACGATCCCCTCCCAGCTCTGGTGCGAACTGGGAACAGCTGGGATGGGGCTGGCCTTAGGCACTGTGACCCAGACAAGGCCGAGGTGTTCTTCCTGATGTCAGTTACAGCTGTGCTTCATGTGCCTGAGGCGAGTCCAGGTGAAAGTTCGGACATCTGAGGCATTAACCCCAGTCAGCACCAAGCAGCCAACCACCTGTCCCCACAGGTGTAGAAGGAATGCTGACAGGAAGGCCAGGATGAGGGCAGGAGGGCCTTGGGCAAAGGGAGGCCGATGCCAGGCAGCCGCTTTCATGCAGTGTGGGGGATGGGGGGGCAGCAGAACCCAGACTCCCTCCTGAGCCTGATGGGCCCGCACCATGCTGGGTATTTGTGGAAAAAGGGAAGGTCCCATCAGCCTTGCAGGTGTCACGCAGACTCAGTGAGTATGAGCAGGGCTGCTGTTACTGGGAACAGATGAGGCATGGGTCAGAGCAGTGCAGGGGGCAGATGAGTGCAGGACACAATAAGCAGGACGGAGGTGCCCCACAGAAATGCCAGTTCCCTCCCTGAGAGCTCCATTAATTAAGCACCTACTGTGTGCAGCTTTTCACCATACTCCAGGGAAATGGGTCACAGAGCCTCTTCCCTGTTTTGGAGTCCTAACACACACGCACACACCGACTGGGGAAGGAATTCAGATCATTTGAATTCAACCACCATCCTGAGGATCCTGGTGCCATGGGAGGCTGAGGATGAATCAGATGACCCCAAACACAACCCACTCACAGAGCCACAGGGGATGGGAGGTCAGCCAGCAGCCTCAGAACGGTTTCAGGCAGCGGGAATGCCTTGCCTATACCCCTCATTCCTGCCCCCCCCCCTCTCTGCGGCTGGCTGGTCCTCTGAGAGGTGGCAGCCCTGCTGGCTTGAATCTTTCAGATTAGTGACCCAGCCTTCCGGTGTCTCCAGATCCTTGCGTAGGAAGGAAAATTAATTTCTTCCAGTCATGCAGAAATGAAAATATGTGGAGCCAAATCAGAGAGATTTCCTGGAGGTGGTAACTCAATTATGCGGATAACCGGGTGACAGAGGAAGAGCGTGTGGACCCAAAAGGGCTGGTGGCTGGCCCGAGGCAGCCCCAGGGGTCCTGGAGGGAGACATCTTGCTGAAATCCTTCAGCCCAGCAGCCCAAGCTGGGCTTGTGTGTAAACGAGTACCACGCACGTGACTGTCCCTTCCTCCCATCACACACAGATCAAGAGAGAGCTGGATTCCCCCAGAAAATTGGTCCTATGTGATGTTCTCCCGCCCTGTGTCTGACTAGCTCTTGGGGAGCACGTATGCCACATCTGTCCCCACCGCTCAAGCTTGTCTCCTTTCTCTCCTTTTCCCTTTCAACATACAAGTGGTCTGGCAGCATAGCCCTCCAGACAGCGTGGCTCTTTAGGCATGGCAGTGTTGGCTGCACCGAACAGAAGCCTCTGCCTCCTGGGCCCAAGTGAGTTTTGGGGCTTTCCCCATCCAGAAGGGCAGGGTAGGGGTGGGGCAAATGACACCGCTGGACCCCAGTGCATGTCATAGCACCAGCTCTCTATAAAGGCATGTGCCCAGGAACTGTGGGTAGGACCTTCCTGCCACTGTGCCTGCGGCAGAAAGGATACCAGGGGCCGCCTTGTATCTGGGACAGGTGAGAGTGGGACCCTCTCGGGCCCAGCCCACCTTTCTCCTGGGTTCCAACCTTAAGAAGTTTCTCGAACCTTGCAGCAACTTGAAAGAGCAATGCTAGGATGCAGAATAGCTACCCCCCTTTGTCCCCAGCCAACCCCTGTCCTCTGAGGGTGGCCGCCCTGGGAACCTCCTGTTTCTGGGTCTAGGGGAGGAAACACACGCCCAGTTAGACATAATGAAACAGTATCCTGGCCACAGGGTCAAAGACAGGGCCTGACAATTATTCAGATACAGAGGCGCATAAGGTCTCCTCTATTCTCAAAGGAAATATTTTTGTCCTTGGCCTCTGGAACAGGCCTTGGCCCTAATGGTGGGAAATACAGGGTTTTTTTGGGGGGGAACACAAGGGTCCCCACACCTACAGGGGTCTGCCCACTACTCTGTGGCTCCCAGGCCCAGCACACACACAGTTCCCAGGGGCTGGGAGGAGGGACAGCCTGGGGCTGTGTGTTCAGAGCCCAGTGGCTCACAGTGTGGCTTGCCACTGGCCCCACTGCCTTCTGCTTCACGTAAGCCCATCTAAGGCTGAATTTCCAGCCATCTGTCCCTCCACATCGGCTCACACCTCCCTCCCCGCGGTTCCCACAGCCTGGCTCCCAGCCTGCCCTACACGCAGATGGACGGTTCCCAAAGGGTGTGAGCACAATCACTGCCATGGGGCTGCACCGGAGGCACCACGGGCTGTCAGGAAAGCTTTCAAGCTCCTCTCCCCAATCATCCAGAGGGGGGCAGGCCCCCCTGAGGGTGTCTGAGGAGACTTCGCCCAAGACCATCTAACTCCGGACCACCACTCTCCTGAATGGCAGGGCCAGGAACCAAAACAAGAGGGGCAGGGGCTCCAGAGAGCTCTGACCACCCTCCCAGCCAGGCCACTGGAACCTCCATCTATCCTAGGGTCACCCTCTAGGCCCCCTCCCAGTCCTCTGTCACCTGGCCCAGGGCCTTTGTCAGAAAGCCCAGATCCGCCAGGGGAGCCTACAGGACTCTCCACCCTCCAAACGCAGTTCCCACCTTAAGTTTGACCACATCCCGGGCAGGTCAAGTTCTCGGTTCACCTGAAGAAGGAGGGGGGGCATTCAGCCCAAGTGGGTGGGCGCTGAGTGGGCTGGCCCCACCCTACCGTGGGCTCCAACTTTGCAAAGTGGAAAGAGGGTGCCCGGGGCGCCCGTGCGTTCGGCGCGGCTGCAAGAAGCCCCCGGACGGCAGCCGCGGGCGAAGTCGGGGTGACAGCGGCGGCGGCGCACGGGACCGACGGGGCACTTACGGTCCGGAGGTCCGGCAGACGGAGGCGATCGCACTCTCGCGACCTGGCTCCTGAA